AATACAATATTTATATATATTTATTTTTAAAAATATTAAAAATAAAAATAAATTAAATAATATAATCTTTCTCCCAATAGAATGATTCTCCTTCCATTTTTATCCTCTCTGTTAAAATGATTTATCTACGTAGGTAAGGTGGTCTTCTTCCCTCACTCTTCCCCCCTTTCTCTCCAACTTCCTTAATCCAAACAAGTGTAAATTTCATCGTCTTTTTAAACATTCCGTCTTGGAGGGTATTGTCGACTCTCAATTTCTCTGCTTCTGCAGTTTTCAGGAAGTTCACTTTCTCAGTTTCGGAGACGTAGAGATGAGAGCTCCGCCAGGTAAAGAAGGCTTTGGGGCCATTTTTGGAAGGGTTTTGGGTTCCTATTAGTTTAGAGCCTGGTTTTCGTTGTTTTATATGCAGGGGGTGGTGGCGGTCGTGGGTTCAGAGCGGGCAGGGATGATGGAGGCAGAGGGAGAGGAAGAGGCGGTTGGAGCGCCATGAAATCCCGAGGAGGTGGGCGTAGTGGTGGTCGCGGTGAAGGAAGAAGCGGCCGTGGAGGTAAACGAGGAATGAAAGGTGGGAGCAAGGTTGTTGTTGAGCCACACAGACACGAGGGAGTGTTTGTTGCTAAGGGAAAAGAGGATGCTCGTGTTACTAAGAATTTGGTTCCTGGTGAGGCTGTCTACAATGAGAAGAGGATCTCTGTGCAGGTTACTTGCTTTGCTAATGGCTGACTAAATTTTAGAATTTTTTTTCTGTTATAATTAATATTTATGTGGATATATTTGAGTTTACCTGAGATTCAGCTATGGCACGATTTGTTGTTTTTGATTTTTTAAATAAAATTCTTAATCTCTTTTTTGTATGTTGGAAAACATTGTTAAATTGATGCTGGAAATGATTTTTTTCCCCCCGAAATATTTATCTCTCTAGAATGAAGATGGAAGTAAAGTGGAGTACAGGGTATGGAATCCTTTCCGTTCAAAGTTGGCAGCTGCAATTCTTGGTGGTGTTGACAATATATGGATTGTAAGTATTTTTACTTCCTCTCTTTTAAAGGTTCCTTAATATGCAGGGTATACCATTTTTGTTCGAGTTCAACTAATCTTTGGGGGTCCATTTTTAATGAAGAAACCTGGTGCTAAAGTTCTATACCTTGGAGCTGCCTCTGGGACCACAGTCTCTCATGTGTCTGACGTTGTTGGCCCTGTAAGTATCCATTGCTGACAATAAAGTTCACTTCCGTGCTCAGCTGCTGAAGGGTTGCTAATTAATTCTTTTGGTTTTTGGACGGACGGGAGTGGTATATGCAGTGGAGTTTTCACATAGAAGTGGAAGAGACTTGGTTAACATGGCAAAGAAGAGAACAATGTTATACCCATTATTGAGGATTCTAGGCATCCAGCCAAGTATTGAATGCTAGTTGGCATGGTGGATGTTCTATTTTCTGATGTTGCTCAACCTGATCAGGTTTTCTTTTTGTGTATTGTGTTGTTCTTTGCTTTTTTATTTAATGTTTAACTAACAATGAGTGGGTATGCTTCTACTCTTTTTCTGAATTGGCCCTGAAGGAGCTGAAAGCTGGATACTGGTAACATTGGCTATATGCATTAGCTCTGTTCATCCCTATTGATGTTTCTTAGTCTATAATCCTTTATATTTAGACCTACAGTAATACACAATCTTTTTACTTATATTTTGCTTCCTACTCAGTGGTTTAATTTCTTCTTGAATGTTTATCCTTATTTGACAGTTTTGTTCTTCTCGAAGCTGGTGGTAGATGAGCATTATATTTAATGTTTTATTTTCTCCATCAATGTTTTTGCAAAGATTTATCTTATTGCATATGATGATTTCTTGCTCGGATTCCCCTTCAAGACACATAATGGGTGATGCAAACTTGAGCTTCTGATGCAATACTAAATACTCCTGTCTACTTCTTTTATTCTTGCTAGTAACAAAGGTTTATCAACATGAACTTTTTATGAGAAATTTGTCATGGATTTTTTTATTATGTTCTTAATGATACACATTACCATTTGTCAAGAGTTTAATATATTCCTAATAGTACTTACTGGAGATTTTGGTTGCCAGAATCTAGGTCTTCTTACTTTTCTCATTTAAATTCGACCTACGTTTTTCATGGTCTTCTTATAACTAGTTTACAATTTATATCTGATTGTTTCATGTTTATTCTTTTGTTTTGACAATGTGCATATGATGATGTACTCGGATTCCCCTTCAAGACATCATGGGTGATGCAGCTCCGAGTCTCTGATGCTCTTTTGAAACTGTGTTTGTGATTATTGGTGATGCTTTTGCGTTGCAATCCACAATCTAGCTTTTCCTTTTTAAGAAAATAGAGTAATAATTTGAAATCCTGGCCATGAATCTGTTGCATCAGTTTTTTTACCCATCTTCATAATGATCTTTTATGAATGGATGATTTGTAAATGTGCCTAACCAACCTCATCTCTTTCCTTTCCTTCTAACTTTCATGGTAGTTGGTGTTCACTTCAGATCAAGCCTATTGTCATAGGTTTTGATTGTTTGTTTACCTTTTTGCCCTATCGAATTTCATTTTTTATCCAGCTTTGTTCTGAGTCTTAGATGAACTAATGTTGGGGTCTTGTTTTCCATCCTCTTCTGGTTTTCTTCTAACCTCTCTGAGATATGTTTTATCATGAAATTATTTTCAGGCTAGGATTTTGGCCCTGAATGCATCCTACTTTTTGAAGTCTGGAGGCCATTTTGTCATTTCAATTAAAGGTTGGTGTTCATAATTGTTGATTTTGAGTAGTAATTATGCAGAGAAGTGTCCTGTTGAAGGCATTGGTTTGTGCAAATTGATATTATCTTATTCTGTGTGTTTGTTTTCAGGCAAACTGCATAGACTCCACCGTGCCAGCCGAGCATGTGTTCCTGAGTGAAGTGAACAAGCTGAGACGAGCAGTTCAAACCATTCGAATAGGTCACCCTTGAGCCTTTCGAGTGAGACCATGCTTGTGTTGTCGGTGGCTACCGACTGCCAAAGAAGCAGAGAGACGCTGCTGCTTGGTTATATTGTAGGCTCTCTAGAAGCCGGTTGCGATATTTAAGGTTAAGGAATGTCAGAGACAGAGTTAGGCGATTCAACTTTAATTTCACATTTTTCTTTATAGATCAGTCTAAAATTTGCAACTGTTTAGTTAGGCCATTCAACTTTAATGTCACATTTAGTTTTGATCCTATACTGACATGGTAATTGTAAGCAATTAGGTAAAAGAAAGAAATGGAAGGACAGACGGGGACACCTGGTGGGAAGAGATTATGGGAGTTAGCCTGGTTGTTCTAGGTAGGGGATTAATGGGGAAAGTCATACTTAACGATTATGTCAACTGATTGACATTATGGATTTTGTTTACAATCTTCAGTGTATTTGAAATGTTATTATTGCTACGTCTTGAGATTTCTTTGTGGTGTTGTGCTTATGTAATGTCAGTGCTCGGTCATTATTTACGTAGCTGTGTTGTGAGTATAGAGCGAACTATTCTTTCGTGTTTTACTTAAGGGCTCGGTCATTATTTTCCAAAAAAAGGGCGTAATTGGGAAGCATAAAACGTACGAAAATGATGTTGTTTTAAGATATTGAAGATTGAAAAATTTACAAACAATAACAAATGTAAAAATGACACTGTCAAATAAAATCATTGTCAAAAGATAGACAATGGCTTTCGTTATTTTTGGTTCAGGGGGTTGTAATTTAGGAATTGGCTTACCCCTTGACTAAGGTTCGTGCGTTAGTCCGACACTTAACTCCCCAGCTTTTTTCTACTTTTCGTAACAAGCTTCATTTTATAGCAATGATGTCAAGATGGCCGAGTTGGTCTAAGGCGCCAGTTTCAGGTACTGGTCCGAAAGGGCATGGGTTCGAATCCCATTCTTGACAATTGCTTCAAATTTTGTTTTAGTGTTTCAAATAAGGGATTGAGAAAAATTAAAAAATATATATATATATATTTTTTTTGTAATGACCTAAATAATTTAGTGGTCATCTTTTTCTGCTGAAAGTAAAAAATCTTAAATTCAAATCAAATTGTAGGTGTGATGAGATAAATATGATAAAAATTGAAAAATAATTGTTTATTATTGTGCAACTAAAATAAATTTTTTTTATCTTAAAAATTAAGAATAATTAAAATTTCAAGATTGACAATAAAAGAATTAAAATACATAATAAATTAATATTAAAAAAATTTATTTTACAATAAATTTTATGATTTAAAGTGTCAAAATATCTTTACTTTCACTTTTCTTTTCAAATAATATAATAGCAGAAGTCACATTAGAATTAATTGCAATTATATCCATTTAATAATTCCCATGTACATTTCAGAAAAAGGTTCAAGTCATCATAATGACTGATGATAGTTGGAACAATTTTCTTTTTTTTTTTCGAAAATTTTCCTATGTTCAAAATTAAAATAATAACAATAATAGTTTACCTACATTCTTTATATATATATAATATTTAATGTTAGTTACTTGGTAATATGAAAAGTTAATTTTTTTTATTTTTAATTATAAATTAAAATTTTTAATTTAACAAATATCAATTTAGTAAAACTCTTTAATATAGCCGACCCGAGCTGCACCCGCAGGTCACAATTTTAAAGAGGTTTAAATATCACTTTGGTCCCTCAACTTTTCACTTTGAAACCAAAACTGTCCCTCAACTTTAAAAAGTACTAAAATTATTTTTAAACTTTCATTTTCGATACCAAAATGGTCCTTCCGTCTGTTAAATGACAAGTGGCTCATTAAAATGTCACAAAATTACTAGACTTTTTGAATCTTAATGACGTGTAAATCCCGCTAAGAAAATTTTGTGACCATAGCATGTTTTAATACACGTGGCATAGTTTTTTACACGTCATATTATCACCTTTTTAAGTTTCCCTTTTAATGGGGCCCACATGACTTTTTTTTAACTTTTCTTATTCTTTCTCTCTCTCTTCTCTTCCCCTTTCTTCTTCCTCTCCAGATTTGGGTTTGAAAACCTAGATCTAGGTTCTCTCAACCCAAATACCATGCCAAAGTGACGACAAACGAAGTGGATTCTTCGATTGGAACTAAGCAACATCATCTTCGACACAATGAGCTTCTCCAAATCAAGCATAGATCTGGGTTTTTCTCAAACACGACGGCCATGGAAGAAGATGATCCGTATAAATTCCATCAACTTCCCATCCAACATCAACGTCTCCCTTCCATGGCCTAATTTCCGTCAATGGCTTATATCTTGTATGCATTCATTCTTTTGTAACTCTTTCGATTTTGATATATAGATTTCTATTATTTGGTGTTAAATCTTTCTATATGAGCCAAACCCTTTGTGTGGTATAATTGAATTAACATAGAACAAACAAAAATTAGTCCAATTACATAGAATTCTACAAACCCTTTCTGCATTCTTGATGTTTCAATTTTTGCAATACCTTGGAGAACACGTTCTTTTCTCGCAAATTTGTACTAGAAAATGATAACTGCACAGATATTGAATTTGCAAAAAAGAATTAAAACCAATTTCATAATAATTTGCTTTCAAGATAAGATACATACTTCCAAATCTCCACACAAACATCTAGAGATTGAAATGTTCTCAAACAAACTCAACAACTAAGTAAAAGCTGATCCAAAGCAAATTCAAATTAATCATAAAGAACAATCAAAAATTTCGTTATCAACTCAACTTGAATAAAGAAGTAACTAACTCATAAAAATTTAAAACGAACCTTGATCTGAGAGTAACGGCCATGGAAGCCATGACTTTTGTAGAACAAGTCAACTGCGTCGTTTTGGTTGCCAGTAGCAACGGAGGCAGAGGTGCCACCTACTGTAGCCATCCCGCCATCAACATCGGAGCAACAATTACCCCTCTTTAAGCCCACTAGTCTCCGTTATGCACAAATTTAAAAAAAGGTAGGGGACAAGCCGAAGAGGAAAGAGATTTTGTCTCTCTTCTATGGAAGGGAAGTTGATGGAATTTATACAGATCATCTCCTTCCATGGTTGCCCTGTTTGAGAAAAACCCAAATCTGGGTTTGATTTGGAGAGGAAGAAGAAGGGAGAAGAGAGAGAAAAAGAATAAGAAGAAGAAAGAAGAAGGAT